GCACTGACACTGACAGAGCAGTCTGAGACACTGAGGACTTGCTGGACTGAACTGACTTTACTGTGAGCTAGCAGGTTTTAATTGCTCGATCTTTTGTCCTGCAGATTATATTTGGGGATTTGACGAAATTCATCTGGTTGAGTGTTTTGGTGTTAGTCGGATTTAGCACAGGTAAGATTCTCATGAATTATAAGCCAACAAATTCTTATTTTGATTGCTTTGCAAGTTCTGCATTTCGCATTTTCCGTTTTGCTTTTATATTTCTGGTTAATTAAAAATAAAGGAAAGTTATTTTCCTATGTTTTAAAATATAGTGGGAAGAAAGTGGGAACTTACAACTTTTGTCTCCACGTCAGTAATAAACCCTTTGCATCATGCACCCGTTTTCTGTTTCAAACTACAGGCTGCATTATCTGTAGTTGCCTTGCACAGTGTATGAATCGTGCTGATAACTGCACCATGGGACTTGTGGTGTATTATTCCTCTCCTTCACGGTTGGCGCACAGGTCCCCTCTTGCAGATGTTCCTCCTCATTGAGTTTTAGCCCTCTGTTTTTCATCATGTTAAGCACCGTCCACCATTGCAATACTTTAGCATCACTCTTCTCGTTCAGATCAGTTTAGAGCTGTCTGCTATCTTGTCTTCTGTACCCACCCAACTGGGAATCACTGATGATGTTTCCTTGCCTCTTGTGAAACGTTGGTGGGACACATGACAATTTATAGTCCACTCTTGTCCTAATTTCACCCTGTCGAAACTCTTGCATGACATTGCTCAGTTTTTCCTTGCCCCAGAGCAGCGAAACTCCACTTTTAATGAGCGTGTTAACTCTCTCTCTGTCACTCTCTCCCTGCAGCTCTGTGGATGACATACATGACCTTTGACTACACTCAGGGCATCCCCTCCTACAAGTCTTTCCCAGTGTCCCTGTTCTCCCAGTTTGAGCTGTCGATGGGGATGATTGACTTGCCTGTGGACCAGACCGTCCCCACCCCCCCCATTGTCCACATCCTGCACATTATGTTCTCCGTGGTGTCCTGCCTGCTGCTGCTCAACCTGCTGATCGCCATGATGAGTGACACTCACTGGAGGGTGGCTCAGGAGAGGGACGAGCTGTGGAGAGCTCAGGTATGTCTCTGTCACGCTGACCCATCTCACAGGCTCACCACAGAGGGATCAGGTTCCTGTCTGTCTCTCTACTCTTGTCAGGATGTTCCAGATAAAAGACCAGCTCTGTGACCTAAGACACAGACAAGCTGTGATGGGCTCTCCCTGTCCTCTATCTGTCTCTCTCTCTTTGAGCATCTCTTCCAGCCTGTATCCCTGTCTGTGCCGGTCTCCCTCTCTCTGCTGTGTCTTTCCCCTCTCGGTCATGTCCAGCCAGTCAGCAGTGTGGACTTAGTGCTCTTACTCTCCACTGCCCTCCCTGGTCTCTCTCAGGTTGTGGCCACGACCATCATGTTGGAGCGCCGGCTGCCTCGCTGCATGTGGCCCCAGATGGGCATCTGCGGACAGGAATATGGACTGGGAGACAGACAGTACCTCAGGTACTAGTGTTACTATTATTACAGGGGTACGGGCTTGGAGATGGGAGGTATCTCAGGTACCAGTATTAATATTCTCCTAGATGTCACCACAAAGCTCTCAGGATTTCCAGCAGGGACCAGGAGGCACTATTGCACAGGAAAAGGAAGGGATCTTGTCTAATTAGAGCCCTGGACTGGGGCTGGAGAGATCCCCGGCACAGGCCAGGTTAAATCCAGACAATGTGTGGACTTCAGGCCTGCACCTCTGATGAGCTCACTGTTTGAGCCTCTTGGGGACCCCTGCCTTCTTCTCCTAGATGGGGGTTTCTCTCCTCAGCCATTGCCGCTCCCCATGCCTGTGTAGCGTTGAGGTGCCGTGTGGCTTCCTCTGTCGCTGTGTTGACCCCAGCCTGTTTCTCTCTCCCCAAGGGTGGAGGACCACCGCAGCCAGGCCATGAAGAAGATCTGGCACTACGCCAACGCCTTTCTGGAGAAGGGGGAGGGCCTCGGGGAAAAGGAGCAGGGGAGAGAGACCGACCTTTCTGCCGGCAGAGTCGTCTTCCGATCGAGGCAGAAGGGCAGGACCATGCTCAACAGGAAGTCTCTGGGAGCCTGGGAGATGATCCGTCGGAGTGCCCTGGGGTCTGAGCACGGGCTCACAAATTTGGATGCAGTAGAAGTGGAATTGAACGTCTGAAAGCCACCTTCTGCATTCCCTGGGACGTGGGGAACGTGGTTCCGAATCGAGGAAGATATGATTGATATTTCTTCTGTCTCGCTGTCTCTCCTGTGGTCTGTGATCTGTGATCAGTTCTCTCCCTCGTCGTCTCAGGACGTTTTATTTGAATTTTATTTGCTTCTTTGCCTATGTGTGAGATTGTGTTCTCGGTGTCTCAGACCTGTTGCTCAGTGCTCTCAAGAGTGGTTCAGATCTGCGAGGTCTAGTGCGAGCAGGTCACTAGAAGGGTCCCTCTCTGAGCTCCAGGAGAAACTGACAGAAGGACAGCGGACAACGAGAGAGAGGTGGTTGCACAGGGCAGGAACGTTAACAGGTCTGCTGATGGCAGTTGATTCTTTCCATCACTTAGATTGAAGAGCTATCCTTACTGTACTTATTTCAGAATTGGGAATGTACTTGGCATCTTAACTCAGGGTTTACTAATCGAAAGAGCTATAAAGAGCTACCGTTCGGGAGCTACACCTACATATCAGCGTGTGTGATTTAATAATGGGACTCTAATTCAGTTCTTAGTATTTAGTGCAGGGCTGGTGACTTGAATTAAACTGGGTAGAAGGCGTCTCTGTCTGAGTGAGATCCGAGAGGGAAGGCGTCATTTTCAGGACTGATCCGAGGAGAGAAAGCATCTCTTTTTTTCCGAGAGATAAGAAATGGATTTGGATTCTGCAAGGACAGGATAAGATCTGTTTTGATGTCCTTCCCGGTGTCTTGTCAGCATTGCCTTTCAGTGATGCGGAAACGCAGCTGAAACCTTTCTTATCAGTTATGCTGTGTTTTCCTTCAACTATGAGATTATTTTTTTTTTGCCTGGAGTGCAGATTGACACTCCTGCGCTCCAGATATCACTGGATCCAATGTGGGCACTGCTAACTGTGATCTTGCATCTACAGAGTTTGTGGGGTATAGGTGGCTGGAGGCCAACAGGGCTTGTGGTCACTTGGGATGTCTCGCAGGATGGCCAGTCCACTTTCTGGAGCCAGCTGGTCAGCTCACACTGTCGTCACATGACAGATGCAGTCAGGCTTTTCTTTTCTCACTGTGTAGCGTAACAAGCCTTCTTTGTAATCGCCCTAGGCTCCACATGAAATACTTTTGAGATTTCTTTTCAGAGATTGATGTGATCAGGGGAAGAATTTAGTGTGATTGCTACTGCTGTACGGTCTGTGATCAAATCAGTGCATTAACCAAGGGATTCAATAACAGTCCAATGAAATTGCTCAGGGATCTAACTATGTCAGATTTTGGTTTTGATTTGTTAAAATAAATTATAGACATTTCTAAATAAAAATGACTTCAATGCTGAAGGGTTTCTTTGCTAGTGCATAGTCTTTCTGAAATGTGAAGTGTGTTGTGCAGTGTGGATGCAGACATTATAACAGGCTGTTCTACTGTACTGGGACTGTAGCTCCTATTGTAACAGGACTGTTCTACTGTACTGGGACTGGAGCTCCTATTGTAACAGGACTGTTCTACTGTACTGGGACTGTAGCTCCTATTGTAACAGGTCTGTTCTACTGTACTGGGACTGTAGCTCCTATTGTAACAGGTCTGTTCTACTGCACTGGGACTGTAGCTCCTATTGTAACAGGTCTGTTCTACTGCACTGGGACTGTAGCTCTTATTGTAACAGACTTTTCTACTGTACTGGGACTGTAGCTCTTATTGTAACAGGACTCTTCGACTGTACTGGGGACTGGAGCTCCTGTTGTAACAGACTGTTCTACTGCACTGGGACTGTAGCTCCTATTGTAACAGACTATTCTACTGCACTGGGACTGTAGCTCCTGTTGTAACAGGTATGTTCTACTGTTAAAAAGAAAATTAAGAAGAGGCTTGATCAGTAACAAGAATCATACCAGTGTTAACAGCACAGCCAGTGCAGAGACAACAGCAAGCATTTTATTTTTTTCCATTAAAAGTTACACCTACGTCAACAGATCAGGCATCAATTAATGCAATAACCTCCAACATGAAGGAATGATTCTTTGGAAAACACACATCTGTAAAAGCCACACATCCTCAGTCACCAACAAGAAAACAAAGATGCAGAGAACAGCCAAAAAGCGCTTCAGTAGTTTGTGGAAGGGATCCATGTCATTTCAGTATGAATTTGACTCCAGTTTCGATTGGTACATATAGCAGGTGCCCTACAGGTCAGAGCAACGAGCTGTGTTGCACTGAGAAGCTCCTGCAGTTCATGGCTGAGATGAATCATAGAAACAGCGCAAGAACTGGTAGACATTTCCGCTGGGAGAAGATACAGGTGTACTTTTACTGGGTGATAAATGGTTTCCACATCTTAAACGTAGCTTCGGTACAGACTTGTTGGGTTAAAACTGTTGTACATAGGAAGCCAGTCAAAGTCAAAATTAAAGGAAAGAGAGGAAGGTGTCTTTGAGCCTATTCTTGCGATGCACCTGGAAGAAGATTTTAGAAGCTGTGGGAGGTCTCTTTTCTCTGCTGAAGGCTGGAAATGCTGTACAGGAGGATGGTTATCTCCCCTCTCCCGAAGTTCTGGACAGCTGGTCCATCACCTCCTCTGGAGACACCGTGAGGTTCTCTGACACCAACAGTTCAAGCAACACGAATCAAAAGACATCCAAATCACAAACATCACTACCTGCCCCACCGAGACACACAAACACAGCCACAAACTGTTACAGAAACCTAAAAAGACAGCTACTGTACCTGAGTATCTGACCAGGGTAGAAGAACACAGAAACAGGCCCAGGTGAAGTTCACACCACTGTCCTGATCACAAATGTGCTGACTAACTACAAATGCTGTTAGTATTCCTTGCAAAGTTTAAATGTTTATTTATTACCGTTCCTAGGTATTTGAAACACTGAATGAACTCCAGGTTGAGTTATTTAATGTAAAGCTACCACAGGTAGCCAGTTCTTTGGTTTTAGCAACATTAACATGAAACATGCTTGACTGACACTGGTTTTCCAGTTCACTTACCATTAAAGTAATTCTCCATCATCCCCAGTAAACACTCCTACTTGGGCCACATCATCGGAACACTTTAATAGGTTAATAGAGATGTTGTGCATTTTCTTATAGATGTAAAATAATGACTTGATGAGGTTTATTTAATCACCTTCCCTGCTGCCTCCTGCTGTTTATTATTATCACACAGGACTTCCAAATTGAGGGGAATCTGGCTGCTTTAGAGGGTAAGCTGGTTTAGCTCTGCACATCCAGATATCACACTGACACTCCTTCACTACAGCTGTGGCCCTGAATTAATTGGAGCTACTCAGGACTTCTGACACGTACAAATCTTATACTGGTTAACAGCATAGTGGCTGAAAGATCTGCAGGCAAACTGCTACGGAAAACAAGTTCATTTCCAGCCACAGAGCCAGCGTGTCAGAACCAGCAGGTGATGGAGGAAGAAATAAAACTGATCAGAAGACAAAGAGACGAACACAGAAAGTGACAGACTGACACTAGAGTAAAACATTCATGATGAGAACATGATTTCAGTCACCACACTGCACTGAGCCTGTTAGCTTGATGAAAAGACGTGTTCAGGAAGATCATCGCTTTTCACAGTGTTACTGCAACTTGAAATGTCGACATGTTGAACCGATTTAGAGGGTATTACGTTGTTCCCTTAAGACCTTTAACATTAACACATTTATCCGAGATTATATTTCTAGGATTATATTTCGAGGCTACTCTCTATATAGGTCATGTTTAAGACTTGTTAAATTTTTAAAAAAAATTATTAATGGAATTATGTCATGACTTTATGCACAAATGTGGTCTGGTTAAGACTATTATTAAAATGTTATTGATGTGTTTAGGAATCAAAACTGTCATCATCTATGAATTGACTTCATTACTCTGCTCTCCTCCCCACTGAGAGCTGGTGTGTGGGGAGCGTTCTGGCACACTATGGCTGCCGTCGCATCATCCAGGTGGGGCTGCACACTGGGGGTGGTGGAGGGGATCCCCATTACCTGTAAAGCGCTTTGAGTGGAGTGTCCAGAAAAGCCCTATGTACGTGTAAGCAATTATTAATTATTACTATTATTGGGTTTTGTCCTACAAAAATACAATTTACATGTAGATGTCGGAGATGTTTTTGGATTTTAACATTAAAAAAAAGAAAATGAGAAATGAAAAAATAGAATTAGAAATAATCGTCAGTAGTAAAATTAACAAGTAATCGGTTTATTCTATGCTAAAAAGAGAAGAAAGAAAACCGTTTCGGCCGTGGAGCCTTCTTCAGGCGAGAGTAATATAATTAAACCTATTGATCGGGCTACAGCAGGGGGTGTCGATTCCGATAACTGTATATCTCTACAGTGTACAGGTGTACAGTGCGGTAGTGAGGGTCTGGTGTGTATTGAACACCCTGATCATGTGACAAGGGTCTGTACTCTCTTGTTATGAATGAGAAGATCCACAGCCAATCGGATCACTGGATTGATCCCAGAGAAGTCGCGATTGGTCAGCAGGATTTATTGCTGATTGACAGTAAATTTTCCCAATTATAGACGAGACTCGGACCATTTGCCCAATAAACTCCGAGATTCAGGAGAGGGGCGGGAATTTTAAATGTGTTGTTGTTGCTCTGCGTTTAAGAAACAGTAAGGATTTATTATTTAGCCAGAAGTTACACTTAATCGGTGTCGCTTTTCTTTGTGAAAAATCCGAGGCGGCTTTTTTGTGCTTTAGCTGTAAACTGTTGCGGTTTGTATCGTATTGTGTTCGTCTGAGCACATGAAATCACGGCGGTACGTTACACGAGTTGCTGTGGAAACTTTATTTCTGCTTCAGACACGTTGAGCCTCAGTGATCGTGAACCTTCGTGCAGATGAAGATGATGATGAAGCAGACGATGATGTTGAGACCCTCGTGTGTCGGAGCGCGTCTTCTAACTGTTACTGGAGAAACAAGACTGAAGCTCAGACCTTTCCAAAGGCTGAGTCCCTGAGCTGTGAGGATCATGAGGACCAGCTGGACAGTCCACTGTCCACTCCACAGCCCTGAGGAAGGAGGTAGGCAGGACAAGAGCTCGTCTTTAACAGAAGCTGTGAGAACTGAGGGTAGATTTTACTCTCTTTATTTATTTTGTTCTCATTGTAGATTTTAAGAATGGGCTCATGTTGTGTTAAATGTGCTGTGTATTGTGCTGTAGCTGTAAACTGTCTGCAAAACACTTTCTCCTCTGGGCCAATAAAGTAAGTAAGAGGTATCCAGTCCTGGAGGGGTCAGTGCGTGTCTGCAGCAGGGCTGTCCAGTCCTGGTCCTGGAGGGGTCAGTGTGTCTGCAGCAGGGCTGTCCAGTCCAGGTCCTGGAGGGGTCAGTGTATCTGCAGATGATCCAGGTGTTTTCATATCAGCAGCAGGTGAAAAGCTGGGAAAAGGTTTTTGGTCCAATTAAACCAGTAACCAGCTTGTTTAGCTCCAGTCTCTCTCCTCTGTAGCTCTACATTGTGTCCATGAGAGATATACAGTAGAAGACACAGATTGTTTATATGTGTTATCTGAAAATTATGTTGTTAATTAATAAATATTTATTTTTGCAAGATCTAGAACAGATATTGAGATATTACAGATTGTGGTTTAATCCTTATTTAAAATAACTCACTGAACATCATAATCTAAATGTTTATTTTTCCATAAATGTTATTTAATATTTATAGACAGAGACAATGTTTTGAATATCTGTTAAATATGTTGCTTTATATACAGTATATACCTGTACAGATCTCACACCAGTGTCTGCTGGATCTCTTCAGTTTGCTGTGTGTTATGTTTGTATTTTCTCTGTCTATTCATTCTTATAACTGCTATCGTGATGTGGAATTGTGTTGTCAGTTGTGTTGAAAGGAGATGATCTCTGTTGTAGTAAACTGTGTTGTGCTCTTTGATCCCTCTGTCTGAGCTGCTCCTACGCTGCTGTGGGTATTTTCTCAGGGACGGCCTCTGGAGAATCTGTACCAGCCTCAGGAATGGACACCGATATCAGCTGACTGTTCCTTCACTCCTTCATTCTGATAATTCACTACACTGATGTACTGTTTTAACATAATAAAACACTCCTGAGCAAGCTTTTAGTCACTTGTTTTTTATCTTATTTTTGTTCTTTAATTAAACACCAGGTTGTGAACACCTCTTCCATGCTCTTGGGTTTTATTTCCAGCGTTTGTGAAGGAAACTGAGGTCTTTGTGGTGATGAGAACCTCTCTGGTACTGATCATATCAAAGAATTTCAGGGGAACTGCTGACATGAGCTCTGTGCCTTGTGAGGGGTGAGATTATCATGGAGAACAGTGGAAAGGGGAAGCCTGATTGTCCACATTTATAATTCAAGTCTAATTCCATCATACTGTCAAACTCCGAGCTGCTCAATACACACAGATGGAGTCACACTGTCTCACTGCAACACCTTTCACAGTGAAGCAGAGTCCTGTGCAACAGGTAGGACTGACAGCCCCTCTGAACACTGTGTAGGATCACAGCAGCTCCAGATCACTGCAGGATTCAGCGCAGCTCCAACTCTCCTCCATCTTCACAAACATCATCAACTCACTTCATCTGAGCTGCAGTTGTGCAGTGGCTCCTGCAGTCCAGCTGTGCTTCTGCTCTGTCTTTATTACAGAAGGGGCTCCTGCTCTCGGCCGGGGGGTGAATCGCAGTTTTAAAGCTTTTATATTTGGCGGCGCTGATGTTTTTGCGTGGCGCATTTGGCTCATCGTGAAGCGCACTGGTCTACGGGCGGTGAGAGTCCGGGTTCAAATCCCCAGACTGGCCTAGGATCGGTGAAAGTCTGGGTTCTGGTCCATAAAGAAAAGATTTTGTAAAACCCGAAACAGTACATGAGCTGAGATACTACTTTTGGAATTGCAAGAGCAGGAGGGATACCTTTTAATTTATTTTTTTCATTTACCGAAATTTTGCCAGATAAGTATGACTGCGGAGTTATTCCAGATTTGGCAGGAAGTATAGCTCACTCTGCTAAACCCCGACTCTTATACATCTCCACCCGGAGCCCCGGGTTCGAGACCCGTATGGTTCGGCTGTTATTTTTCTCTGGGGCTGAACTTGCGCTCTTCTGATTGGCTGCTCTTACACCCACCTCTTCCACACGCTGATTGGACACTATTAACACTGAACCCCGCCCTTAAGCCCAGCCACACCCCCTGTCTCAGTCACCATGGTAACGGGACGCGTTCCCTCAGCAGCGCGGAGCGTCATCCTTCACCTACCGGGCTGCGAGTGTGGCGGCGGGGCTCTAATCGAGGCCGGGGATGGAGGCTGCAGTCTAGGCCGCAGACCAGCGGCTCCCGACTCCCCGCCCACGACAGCCCGGTGCCCGGAGGCTGTAGCGCTGCGAGCCGCTTGGTGTGGCTGCTCACAGGGGGACCCGATTCACGACTCTCTACACCCCTGTACCCCAGAATAATCAATTAACCAATTAACACTCACAGCAGTTTATTACAGCAAATAAGGATATAAAGCATAAAACAATTACACTATACAGCAG